CTATTGGGAGGTAGAAGTTGGAGGAATATTGGAATGGGCTGTGGGTGTTTGCAAGGAATCTGTATATCATGAAAGACCTTTCTTAGTATCTTCAGATCTAGGGTTCTGGGTTGTGAGCCCCAAGGGGGGACATGAAGTCACTGCCAACACAGAAACGGGGACTGTTCTCCACATGGACCCAAACTTGCAGATAGGATTTTCCTGGACTGTGACCTGAAAGCCATTTCATTTTTCAGTACCACTGATGGTTTCTGTTTATACACCTTCACAAACGCATCTACCTCAGAGCCTCTGTGTCCACTCTTCCATCCTGGGATCCCAAGAGAGGGTGAGAATGTGCAACCCATGAAAGTCTGTGCCAAGGATGCTACAGATATCGAATTTGATCATAGCTCTCTTAAGGAGATATGTGAACTCTGTCCAAAACGAAGAGCATACGGGGCGAAACTGATGGATCATACACTCCCGAACTCTTGTGACATTACCAGGAGTTTATATGGTTGCGAAAACCACCCAGTTTGTTTTACTGAAAAGGAAGCCTTAGGATAAGAATGGCAAAAATATTGGGCCAGCCCAGTGGCATAGTGGTTAAGTTCCCATGCTCTGCTCAGCAGCCCGGGATTCACGAGTTCGAATCCCGGGTATGGACCTACACACTGCTCGTTGAGCCATGTTGTGGCAGCGTCCCACATACAAAATGGAGGAGAATTGGCACAGATGTTAGCTCAGGGCCAGTCTTCCTCAAGGAAAAAGAGGAAGATTGGCAACAGGTGTTAGCTCAGGGCCAATCTTCCTCACCAAAAAAAGAAAAAAGAAAAAAGAAAAAAAAAGAATTGCAAAAATAAATCATTGATTTTTAACACCTTACTTAACTCTAGATACAGTAGTCCCCCCTTATCCGTGGGGGATACCCAAGACCCCCAGTGGATGCCTGAAACTGCAGATAGTACCAAACCCTATATATACTGTTTTTTCCTGTACATACATGCTTATGATAAAGTTTAATTTATAAATTAGGCACAATAAGAGATTAACAATAATGAATAACAAAATAGAACAATTATAACAATATACTGTAATAAAAGTTATGTGAATGTGGTCTCTTTCTCTTTCAGTCCAAACCTATTCCTGAATCTGTGTAAACATCCCTCATTTGCAGTTAATGTCTTGGTGTCACTCATTTCAGGGTATCCCTTGCTGAAATCTTTATATAGACTCAGTGCTTTCTGATGCAACACATTGCCGCCATTTGGAACACGTTTTCTGTTCATGTCTTCCATCTACAAATTGAATACCTTTTCCATCTTAACTAGGCACTTATCATGCACTGTGGCTGTAACTTTTGCAATTTGAGGTGTGACAGCAAAACAAACACATATTTCTTTTTCCTTCTTCACAATTTCACTGATAGAAGATTCGTTCTTACTGTAGATTTGAGCAACCTCTGCATATGATTTTTTTTCCTTACCTTATTAAGTCGAGAACTTTCACCTTTTCACTTAACGGAAGCACTTTACAGCTTCTCTTTGCCGTGTCCAAATTGCCAGCATCAATGGCAATTTGCACTTTGGAGCCATTATTAAGTAAGATAAGAGTTACCTGGACACAAGCACTTCAATACCATGGCAATTGACCTGATAACCAAGAGGGCTACTAAGTGACTAAGGAGTGGGTAGTGGATACAGCGTGGATGCACTGGACAAAGGGATGATACACCTCCCTGGTGGGACAGAGCTGGACAGCAGTGAGATTTCATCATGCTATTCAGAATGGTATGCAATTTAAAACTTATGAATTGTTTATTTCTGGAATTTTCCATTTAATATTTTCAGACTGCAGTTGACCATGGGTAGCTGAAACTGCAGAAAGTGAAACCGTGGATGAGGGACTACTGCTGGGTTATGCTCAGGATGAAGTTGAACTAGACCCAGGAAGCCCACAGTTTAAGGGTAGGTCATTTCTTCCTCTTGCATGTTTCCTGAGGGCCACCTCCATGAACTGCTGCTTCAAGATGGAACCAAGAAGTTGTTGCTCTGTAGAGCCTGGGTTGGATATTCATAGGCTCAATCCCTGAGGACTTGGGAAGGAAGGTTTCCTGTGTATGGGCCACATGAGGAGGAAAATTGTAGGGTTGGAGACATTCAGAGGGACACAGTATCTAAGGATTAAGTCAAGAAATGGAGAGAGAGTCAGGGAAGGGTGACTTGTGGGCCCCCACCTGAGACTGATCTTCCATGGACTAAAAGTTGATTCAAGGGGCTGGCCTGGTGGTGCAGTGGTTAAGTGTGCGCCCTCCGCTGCGGCGGTCTGAGGGTTTACTGGTTCGGATCCCTGGCACACACCGACGCACCGCTCATCAAGCCATGCTGTGGCCGCATCCCATATAAAGTAGAGGAAGATGGGCATGGATGTCAGCCCAGGGCCTATCTTCCTCGGCAAAAGGAGGAGGATTGGCATCGGATGTTAGCTCAGGGCTGGTCTTCCTCGCAAAAAAAAAAAAAAGTTGATTCAAAGGGCACTTCCTAAAAATAAAGTAAAAAAATTAAACTTACATTTACATGGGAATTTAAGATATGATTTTTTAAATATATCTACAAAGCTATGGGGACGAAAAGACTTGTTTAATAGATGGTATTTGGAACACTGACTGTCCATATGAAAAAATAATATTAAAGTTCAAACATAGCATTTGGTCATACACAAAATTAGACTCCAGAAGAATAAATACCTAAAAGTGAAAGGTAAAACTCTACAGCAGATGTAAGAGATAACTTTATGACTAGGGTTGGGGAAAGACTTTTTCAATAAAACTCTTCAAATACAAACAATAAGGTGAAAAATTGATTTATCTACATCCATCAAAATTAAGCATGGAGTTAGTAAATACATGATACACTGGGAGAAAATATTTGTGACATTTGAAACCAACAAGGAATTTGTATTAGAATATGCAAAGAACTCAAAATTAACAGAGCTAGAAAACCAATAAAAAAATTGGCAAAGGATATAAATAAATAGTTCACAGACAGGGAAGCCCAAGTGGGCAACATGTAGAGAGAAGTTCAATATCACTAGTAATCAGAGATATGCAAAATAAAATAATGAACTACCACTTGACATTAATATGGCAAGACTTTTTATAAAGGCATACACTTCCCATTGTAGGTGGAAATAGGAAGCAGAAATGCTTAGCTCTGCTGGTGGGAGCATAAACTGTACTTCTGTTTCAGAAGCAGTCTTGAGAAGCTTGTTTATGCATTATGATTCCACTGCTGGGTAAATATCCCAAAAAAATTCTCACACAGTTCCATCAGGGGACATATTTAAGAATATTCATTGAGGCGTGATGCTACCAGGGAGTCAGAGGCACAGTCTATGCCACTTTCTAGTGCTCATTCCTGTATTAGATGGGCTGGAAAGCTAAAAACTACATTTCCCAGACACCTCTGCAGCTATGGTTCTAGAAGAGATTTAGGTTCAGCCAATCTTATGCACTCCTGTGAGATTGGGAAGGCAGAAGTAAGATAATTCTGCCACTTCTCCCTTTCTGTTGGCAAGCACTGTTGAGGAAGGGTTTGATTTTGTTGTGCTAATGTTAGCAGATTCCAGCAACAAGGCACTGACTATATGTCAAGAAACGGAGCGCTGATCATCCATGTTTTTGCTGGGGCAGGTTGTAGTTGGTGCAGTGTGTTTCTGGAGCAGCAGCAGTAGGCAGCTGCCTCCTGATCAGGGCAGTCTCAGGATAATATCAGGCAGCTGCTGATATTAGAAGAGAACTGTTTAAACTAACTGAGGTAGGTTCTGTTCTCTGCATTTAAACCAAAGCCTGATTGATTCTACCAGGATGCAGGAAATGTGTTAACATTCTTCTATTCTACATTTTGCAAAATCTACTTGCCATTTAAGTCCCATCTCAGTTGTTCCCTACATCAAGCAGAACCGTTCCATTCTCTCTGTATTTTGCATGTAATATTGTAATTACTTGCGTACTTTTCTGTCTTCCTCAATAGAACATCAACTCTTTGGGGCCGCCCGGTGGCGCAAGCAGTTAAGTGTGCGCCCTCCGCTGCAGCAGCCCGGAGTTCGCCGGTTCGGATCCTGGGCGCGCACCGACACACTGCTTGGCAAGCCATGCTGTGGCCGTGTCCCATATAAAGTGGAGGAAGATGGGCATGGATGTTAGTCCAGGGCCAGTCTTCCTCAGCGAAAAAAAAAAAGAGGAGGATTGGCAGATGTTAGCACAGGGCTGATCTTCCCCTCCAAAAAACAAAAAAAAACCCATGAACTCTTTGAGGCCAGGGATAGGATCTCATTCAGTCCTCGGTGACACAAGCCGAGGACTGAAGCACATGTTGCTACCTTATCCAACAGCACAGAATATAGTACATTTCCCTCACCATAGATAATTCTGTTGGACAGCATTATCTAAATGGATCAGAGCTCTGCATTTCACATTCCTGAAGTATCTTGTGCTTTTCTTTCATAGCATTTATCAAAGTTGATAACAAATTAATATCTGTCTTCCCCACCAAATTGTAGGCCCCAGGAAGACAGGAACTGTGTCCATTTGCATACCATTTAATGCCCAGTGTCAAATACTGTACATGACAAATAATGAACACTAAATAGATATTTGTCAAATGAATGAAGTTATATTTTAATAAATACAAAAATTCTATTCCTTGCAATTTGAGGCCCAGACTAGAAATATGATCAGTGGGTTTGTGTATAGGCAAATGCTTTTGCATCCATGTTTCAGACCACTTTCTGCCTTTCCTTGCTGAGCATTTCATTTCCTTTCTGGAAATGAAGAGGACAATAGTATCTAGCTAGTGAGGATTTGGGGACCTGGTACTTTGGCAATATTAGAAGAGTGATGTTCAAAATACCAGAATGTAAAACACTTGATTAAAAAAACATTTTGTGTTGTTCTACCCAGCCACGATCAATTTAAACATATGTGTGTTACTCATAATCAAAAAGACGTTCTCATGACAAGTGAGAAATACTTATTCAGAATCATGATCATCAAATTTTTATTTTGCATTGTAAGATGGAAGAGAAGTTAAAAAGTGCAATTTTATTCTTTTATAAATTATGCAATAACATGCTTTAAAAAGAATAAACAATAGAAATAGAATAATTAAAAGAGCTCTTAAATGAATAAAAGTAGAATCAAAATAATCAATTAAAATTGCAGCTATCATGGCTAGCAATGGATTACATGTAAAGTTTGGAAGGTTAGAAATATTGGCACTTGGTAATCATAATAGAGCTTGAAAACATTAGCAGCATGTAATATTGTTGCCCTATGGTGTCTAGATCTGCACTCCAATCATATCTGTGTTCACTGGGATTTGGCTTTACTCAACACATCCACATCAGCTTTGTCTGCTTCTCCAAGACTTTTTTGATGGCTCTCAACCAGGACATTGTCTTCCTTTTTTCGAGGCCTCTGGGAACCACCATCTCTGTGAAATATAGGAACTCCAAGGGCAATAAAATTGTGCACATCCTGCAGCTTCTTCCGCAGCCATTCCACCCTTTCCACTGAGTTCAGATGTTTGCCCAGGTTATGCATAAGCTGTATTTCACTCACAGATCTCCTCCTGGAGGGAACAGAACAGAGAGGACCACTCCATCAGTTCCCCTCTTCCACATCCTAAAGTCAACCTTAACAATCCAATTCCCATGCCTCCACCATGCCGAACAAGATGCAGTACTTACTTAACAGGCTTCCCATCCGAATTTGCAAGAAAACAAATTGCAAACAGGACAATCATTACTTTAACCATGTTTTTTGCAGACATCATCTTCACTAAAAGGAAAAGCAAAACAGAGGTATTTAAAAATATTTTTAATATTCCAAACCATCTAATAAAATTTACAGTAGTTTACATTTATAATCATACAACTGTGTACAGAGTGTGACAGTAACTAATTGGATTGGTTTTCATGAGAGGCTTTTGGAATCAGCCTCTTTATTTTATAGATACATTAGCATATATTATATATATGCATAATTTTACTTAGAAACTAGACAGGTTAGTTTTACTTTCTTACGTATCTTTTTGAGAGTCTTGTGCAAGTTTTAATACATGAATTTTAAGCCACATGAGGAATGAAAAATCTTTTTAGAATCTCCTCCCACATTTTATGTTGGTTATGACTAAATGCTTATAACTTGCTTGAAAATGGCTAATTCTCTTAATTAGGTAAATTGTTAACACTATTTATTTACTTAGCAAATTTCTGTTTCATAAGTCAGCTTCATTTCAGGCACTGCAATAATAATCATAGGGCCGGCCCCGTGGCTTAGTGGTTAAGTGCGCACGCTCTGCTGCTGGCGACCCGGGTGCGGAGCCCGGGCGCGCACCAACGCGCCGCTTCTCCCGCCATGCTGAGGCCGAGTCCCACATACAGCAACTAGAAGGATGTGCAACTATGACATACAACTATCTGCTGGTGCTTTGGGGGAAAAAATAAATAAATAAATAAAATTAAAAAAAATAATAATAATCATAAACACCAAATTAATAGACTCTGATTTAGAGATTTTTACTGAATTACTGCTTAGTTCTCCTACCATGAGAAAGAATGTGTCAAAGCATTTAAAAAATCATCTAATTAATTACTTGTTATATGAATTTGGAGCTTTGGCTTCGTGTAAAATGCTTATCTGTATCTTATTTCTTCAGCTTATTTTATTAACAATTTTGCTTCAGTATAATTTTTAGCACTTTCTTCTTTTGCTCATAAAGCTTTTCATCTCAGAATAGTCTTACCTTAATTTGCATTTCTATAATTGCAAAGCCTGTTATTATAAAAGTGCTTTTTCTTAATGCCTAATGTTCTCCATTTTAACATACACATGGAGTGGCTAAGTACTCATATTAAAAGGAAACTGCATGATCTAAAGTAGCATAAGAAACATTATAATCTACTACATTTATTTTCACTGTGCAATATAAAGCTATCGATGGAGCAACAATGAATATTCTTCAGTTTTGGTTTATGTTAGAAACAGGCACCATAGCTAGAGGACAGGAGCATTGGTTTCTAATCCTAGCTCTGTCACATTCACCTAGTGACTTCAGACCTCTCTGCTTTGCTTCCTTGTTCTTAATAGAGAGACGAGCTTCTTACAAGAATGTCATGAAACAGCTGAAAAACAGTCGTAAAACACCCTTGAAATTCATGTACAGTTTTCAGAACAGAAAATTACAAAAGGCTGTATGTAAAGGGAATAAATATTCAACAGTAAAGCTGAGTTTCTCCAACTACAGTGCACAGATTGAGCTCTCTATGGTTCATAAAAAACAATCCAGATAAGGATATTCTATAGGAAAAATGAATTTTAACCTAATAAATTTGTATTGGTTATTTAAATCAGAATTATTCATTGCTCATTAGGCTGCTTTATTTCAAAACTTCAATAAGATACCATTAGAGTATATCGTGCCAAATTTTAATTATTTTTTGTGTAATTTCAGATACATTTAAAAAAAGCAAGGAATCTCAAAAATAAATCACAAAATAATGATTTAAGAGTATTTTAATAGCATAAGTTTATTTCGTACTGTGGCATTTTATACTAAACATAATTCAAACCCTCCCTTAACATTTTACCTTGAACAAGCAGCATGATATTTGTGGAAAACGGGAGACATTAAATAATTGCTTAATTATATAAAAATCTCATATAAAATTTAAAAGAGAAAATAAAGATAACTCACCACACAATGTCTTAGCACAGGATCCTCTTTCAGGTGTATTAGCAGCTGATGCTTTCTTAAAGTTGAGTAAACTTAAGAAAGCTGATGAATTGACTGTAGATCCTTAAATGTGACTTTTATATATAGGTCTTCCGCTCGCCAAGAGAAGCTTTTTTGTTGTTACAGATGATGTCACTCCCAATTCTCTCAGATAATTGGATATTAAAAGGAAAACAGTGTGGGGCTGGGAAAAGGGTCTATGCAAAGATTTCTAACAAATATTGAATTGTAATTCTGACCGGATTAATGAATTTATATTATAGAAAAGACTGATTTCAAAGATTTATGATGTCATGTTCTTACTTGAAAGTAAAATCTGAAAATAAGTATATTTGTTATAACCTTACTTTTAGTACAATTATTATGAGGATTATAATGAATCATATTATGTTTTGCTTACTTTACAAGCCATCTTGAACTGATCCATATCATTCCTGGTCATCTTTTAAAAAAATTAGATACAGTGCTTTTCTTAAAGGAAGTGTTAAAAATACTTTGATAAAATGCTCTTAATACGTAATTAATTTTAAAGACTTCAAAAGTGAAATTACTTTAAAATTCATTTAAATTACATTTTATTTATGCATTTTAATTTGCAATAATAACATTTGATAAGCACTAACAAGATGCCCGACTATACATGTGTTACACTGCTAAGTCTTCACAGCAATCCTTTAAAGTGAATACTATGTTTAGCCCCATTTTCACATGACGTTTGGAAAATGGGGAAGAGGGAATGCAACAAAGGTCTTTAGGACTCCAGAGCCATTTTGATTCTTATTACCTCAGTTTCCCCCTAGAAATGTAGCCCTTCTTTGAACCCCAGTCTTCTTGATTCTAATTTGCCTAACCTTTTGCAGCCTCTTTGCCCAGGAGTTGGGTCTTGTTCCTCACGTTCCCCAGCTGATGTTTGAGGGCCTCCTCCAAAACCTAGTGGAGGCATGATGCTGCCACTTGTCTAATTTAAAATATTGCTACAGCTTGGTCCCCATATATCAGATCAAAACCCCTTGAAAGCCCTTGGTATATTTAGGGTTCATTTAGGCAGCTTGCCTCCCAACTAAAATCCCAGAATTGGATCCATTCTCTTAGCTCTGGTTCTACCCAGGCTTCCTGTTACCCCCTTTCCCGCTAACTGTTGCCAAGGTTTGACCCTACATCAAGAAAAAGCCAGTTCAAGCTTGAACAGTACCTGTACAGAGTCCAGAATGAGAGATATATGGTAGTCCTGCTCTAGAATATTCTCTGTACTGGGCAAATCTCACTTGGAGTATTGGTCCAGGCTCCATTTTAGAAGTGTTTAGAGACAAATTGCAAAACGTCTGGAGGATAATGGTGAAAATGTTGAAAAACATGATGTATGAGAAGCTGTTGAATGAAGCTGGAAAAGAAAAGTTTGGAAAATAAAAGACTTCGGATGACTATATAGCTGTTTTTACTTCTTTATAGGGCTACCATAAGGAAGAAGGAGTATTTTCTGTGGTTTAAGAAGGAAGAACTTAGTTCAATGGTTAAAGACTACAAGGAGGCAGATTTGGGCTCAACTGGTTATTATTATCATCAAAATAAGGAATCAAGTACCATCTTGAGTAGTGAGTTCACTAACAATGTAAGTACTCGAGTAGAAGCTAGATTAGCATTTATCAGGGATATTATAGAAATCCATACATAGCAGAGGATTGAACTGAATAACCAAGAGGTCCCTTTCAACTATAAAAATCTATTGTTTTGATCTTTTTAAAGACCTGTTCTGATGCAAAGTCTACACATGATGTTTGTGTATCAATTTTTTGTTATACTTTGTTGAGAGGAAGGAGAATCAGAAATGTAAACGGTTTTATAAACACATTTTTTACTGTTATTATAAAGCCTTGTTTAACATTCTTAATTTGGAAGTTTTTCTCCTTTCTTTGGGTAAGTTTGACATAACTAGCAGCCTTCCAGGAGTGATGCAATTGGTGCTTTCACTGTCTTCCTCCTGTTACAATTATTTAAGAATAAATTGTCATATTGAAGACAACCACATATTAAACTAGTTTTACAGAAAAATAAAGCAGACGTTCATTCATTCAAAAAATATATTGAGTATCTACTATCTGCTAGGGGCTCTGTTAATCACTAGATTATTGAAACACAATCCCTGCCCTCAAATTTAACACATAAATTGGAACATAATGTGATAGGTGTTATAACAGAGATATGAACAGAGGCTTATAAAAGCTCAGAGGAGGAAGTGACTAAATTTCCCTGGAGTTGTTGGAAGCTATTTTACTGAGAAGCTGAAGTGTTCTCAGGGATGATTATGAGTTTCCATCAGAGAAAGTGGGAAAGGACAGAGGGAACAGCACGTGCACAGCCTGGAGGCAATGAAGGTGGAATATATGCTAGGGAAAGGAGGAGGGACATGGGCGATGACCCTAAAGAGTTAAGTTGGGTACAAACTGTGCAAGGTTTTTGTGTATATGCCAAGGAGTTTTATCATGTAGTCCTCTCTAAACTCGTGTGTGCATTAGTAGTGTTTCTGTGTCCTTCAGCTTTTTTAAAGGACTACTTGACCTTCCCAAAAAGAAGAGATATAGCTGCCAGAATTTGGCACATAGTTTATCTGAACCATCAGGCTTTAGGACCGCAGAAACTAGATAGAAGGAAATCATTTAGGAATAAGAGGGCTAGGGGCTATGTGGGCACAAGAGGCTGATATCACAGTGACAGAGAGAAGAGCTGAGCAAAGCTTTATGCTTTGCAAAGCTCAGCTTTTCTTATCATTCTCAAGTTCTCTGAAGCTAGGATCAGACAACCTACTGTCTTCCTCACATTTGGGAAGGATAAAGGGCCATGTGTTATTTCCTCTTACATTATGGGAGGTTTAATTTGAGACTGATATTTTTCCTTCTGTTTGCTCATAGGAATTAGTATGGTTTGGGGGAGTTAGCATCAAGAAGAAGCTTCCGGGGCTGGAAAATCTGGCCACAGTTCTCCTAATTCCATGTTTTGTTGACAGATCGGATGGTGTCTATCTTAACAGCTGACTTACTCTTTTGCTTTAAGCGCCTCTCTGCGATATTGAGCTACTGAATTCGTTCTGATCTGTCAGAAAGACATTTCCTTCCTCTCTCTCACCAGCCCCCAAACTTATCTGTAGTTAGAGACAATGAGCAAAAATGCTTAAAAGGACGGCAGATAATAACTGTTGGATTTTCCAAGTGTTTTCTGTAATCTTCAGTTCCTGATTCTTCTTTCTCCATAACCTTTTATTGATAGATACTGAGTGTGGTTCTCTAATAGGCAGCATTTAATAAGCTCCTGATCACTTTACATTCATGATCTGTTATAAGCCCTGGGATCCATTATACCTGAATGGCCTTTTGACGCTGAAATATGCAAGCACTCGCACAAATAAAATATTACTTGTTGCTTTTTGTACATTCAATCGGTGAATGTCCATCCCCGCATGCGTTTACAGCATTCTGCATGTTTATGTGGAATGGAGGAGTGTCAAGATGACACGCACTGTTTTCACAGTCAGAAAGAGGCATCTCTATAGGTAGGGACTGAGGGTAAATGGTGAGAGACTGGATGTCTGGGATGAGACAATCATTCTAAATACAGCAACAAATGTCTCTGTCTTGTCACAGTGTAAATGTGGGGAAGCCTTGGGATCTTTATTTGATTGAAAAGATTTCTAGTTGTGCAGATACCTCTGTAACGTTCTCTGTGACATAGGTAAAGAACGGAACATGTCCTTGAGTGTCCCTCATTCAAAAGCTCCCTGAGATTTAATCTATTCCTATTCTCTATTTCTTAAAGAAATGGAGGGGGAAAAGTAGGCTTACTTGAGAGTCTTCATTTTTTTCTTTTTTTTTTGAATCATAAGGAAGATGGACAGCCACAGCAATTTAATCAAGAAGTGAAGTCTCACATTTTTGGTGACTCTCTTCAGTGAGCTGAATAGACCACTGATGTCATCACTCCTAATTCTAAATATTCTTTTTTTATTGTCCCATAAATGTGTTCATACTTCTGAGACCAAGTGTTCCAATTTGGAGTTCACATAATATGTTTTCCTCAGTTAATGTTGATCTTCCTTTGGATTACATAGATTCTTAGTTGTGCTCCACTCTCTTTTTACCATTGGCAGAAAATCATATGCAACTTATGATACCAGAAAAAAATACAAAGTCTTTCACATCCCTTCCTAATGTTCAACTGGAGCCAATAGGCTGTGTACCCTGACTCTTTTATGTTTTGAAATAGTGTGAGAAAAAAGCAGGATGGGGGTATTGTTTTCCCATTAGTGAAGCTCTAAGTCCAATGATCTGGATTCTCAGACTCCTAGTTTAGGAATGACAACACAGCAATCTAAATTACAATTTCAATCATATAGTAAAGATTTGTCGAGTATCTAAAATCAACCACTCAAGAAACAGTAGCAATTTCCCTGCTCATAATCTTTTCCCTGGGTTTTGTTGTCAAGTGATTTTTTTTTTAAGTTAGAGCATCTTACCCTTTCAGATCTTAAATTCCACATCTCAAAAGTAGAATATTGTCTTCACTCTTTGAGTTATGAGCTTTCAGATATGAGCTATCATGCGTGAAAGTGTCTCACATATAACTGGCGTTCAAAAAATGCATGTTGAATCTAAATCTGAAAGGCAAATGTCCCTTGCCCACCCCCTCAGATGGGTCTACCTCACTTCAGGAGTCCCCAGTAATAAACATGGCGAGTATTGAGCTCCTGGGCCCAATCTGCTCTCTGCCTCTAAGATCTGCCACCCTAGCCCTCTGAAGGGCAAAGAATTCTGAGGCAGTTATGATGCTCATAAAATCCATTCTGAATTTGCTAATTGCACAAGGAATTGTTGTAAAATTTAAATTAAAACTAAGCATATCTTTGTATGGTTGGTAACAAAATGTGCTAAGCATGATTGGAGAGTAGACCTAGTTAACAAACTGACAGGTAGCCCTAGAAGCTATGTTCTCCTCACACCCACCTAGCAGCACTGTCCAGTGGAAGATGCACTGAATATGGAAGATGAGGGTAAAGGTCATAGCTCTGGCACTTAGTTGCACAGCCTAGGATAAGTC